GCCAGACATTTGGCTACTTTAACTCTTGAGCACCAGAGAGTAAGGGTAGCATTAGCACTGTAAGTAAATATTAGCTTTTCTTTTTTTTTCTTCAGTAAGAGGTTTTTATTCAATAGAATTTTTGGACAAAAATTGCAATATATCGCAATATATCGGGATATATTGTATCGTGACACCTCTGTTATGATATGTATCGTATCGCCAAATTCTTGCCAATACACAGCCCTAATCTTGAATCAGGTTGACTCTAAAAAAAAGGGTAAAAGTAGTTTCAATACAATCCATACACTGAAATGAGAGATATTTTGCTAACAGACAAACACACACAAAGCAGACAATGTGGGCTTCAGAAAGCAGACAAAAATAAACATCTTTTTTTTATGTCAGTGAATATCTGGTTCAAAGCTTTTCRCAGAAACGATGGTGAGCACATCCCATGCACCGTGCACGTCACATGTTTGTGTTGATGTGGACATTATGAACACATGCAGGCACGAGGTGAGCACAAACAGAGTGGAAAGCAGGAACCACAAACAGCCAGAGAAGAAGTGGATGTGCAGCGGGAGGATGGRGACGACTCGGAACAAACAAAACGGACGGAGGACAACGGGACACGCAGACATGAGACGAGACGGCTCTTACGAGTCACTGGGACTCTGGTTAGTTGTCCTCTGGGTTTTCTGCGCCCGCTGCGTTAGCCGAGCTCGGACAGCGGGGCTCGGGTGGAGGCAAGGGCAGGGGGATGGRCTTACTCTGGTCTTCTGGGGTCTCTGGACCCAGATTAGAAGTGGGCTGGATTATAATTACAGTAGTACCTGTTGGATTGGAGTGTAAAAGAGTGGTAAATCCACTGGAACTTGGTTTTTTACATCCAACATTATACAGATGCTGATCTAAACGTAAGAAAACTTTAAATCAGAGAAGCTGCTGTGGTGCAATCGGACCGGAACCTAAAAACTAGAATTATTATATTTTCTGTAAAAACAGAGAACACTGAGCGCTGGAGGAGTTTGATGAAGCTGAACTGAAGCAGAACACTTGGGTAAACATGAAAAATAACAGCTTTAAATAACGCACTAACAACGTTGCAGCACTGTTTTAAAAGTAAAGCTGGAAATGGTCAYATTCCTGATTATTTAAGTCCCATAAAAGTATGGCAGACCGAATCTGACATCATTCGAAATAAAAGCAGAAAAATTGTAACTGAATCTGTGTCTCTTAAATGTTTAATTTTTTTCCCCCACAAGTCTTTTTTATTTCCATGTGTGTTATTTCTCTAGTTTTTACTTTATGCTTTTATTATCTAATAGCATCTCGGGGCTAACAACACACCGGGCTGATGGATGCAGCGCTCTCAGTGGAGGCTTATGTATCTACAGCAACAATGGATGGTGCAAGGACGCAAAAATGACTTTTAAACATTGCACACCCGACATTGAGGTTCTGGCAGTTACATGTCGCCCTTTCTACCTTCCACGTGAATTCACAGACATGTTCATCATTTCGTCTCTCCTTCAAGAGACTTCTTCAGTCTGATGAGTTTCAGGTGAACTCAGCCTTAAAAAGCACTGCCTCCACATGGACAAACAGGTTAGTCACATGCAAAAGAGGGCCATCGCCTAACAATAGGCTTGATTAGCTCTATTGTTCATAAAGGGTCATGTGCCCCATCACCTGACTTATTGGTTTGGATGCTTCGGCTGTGGTTATTTGGTGGTCCTTTTCAGTCATTTCACTCAGTACAACACACAGTTGTATATGGGACACGCATGCCTGGCTGAAGCCACCTCTAATTACGTCTTTAGACCGGTGACGTGGTGACGTTGAACGTCGGGTGACAGGCTTCGCCTTCACCATATAAGTTCGGAGTCACCAGCGTCATTACTCAGTTCTATCGCCCTACACCTCGCGATAGTCACCTCTATACCTGAGCTCACATGGCTGCTGCTAGTTAGCTCAGCTTCTAAGGTTCTTAGGCTAGCTTTACTGGTGCTAACCGCGTTACCTGCTGGTTCGTGTGTCTGCCGCTCGACGCTACTTAAGTGACCTTTATTTTCTGCTGAAAATCTGTTTTGTGGTTCAGGATGAGCACAAAACCACCTCCGAAGAAGCCGAAGTCTTCTGTTCGSCCCTGTCCTCAGGGGTGCGGCTTTAAGCTCCATGAGAAGGACCAGCACGAGGCCTGCCCGGCCTGCCTAGGAATCATTCATGCTCGACAGGCGCTTGTGGAGCCCGAGTCCTGCCGGGCCTGTGCCGGACTTTCGCGTCCAACACTGGAGAGGAGAGTGAAGTTCCTGGAGAAAATGCTGGGGGAAACTGCTGTTTTCCAACAAGACCCGCTGCTCTTCGAATCCAGCCAAACGGCTCAGTCCGACGAAGACGTGGATTTGGCGGTCGAAGCCCCCGCTGCTAGCTGGGCGGACCAGATGGAGCACGAGGCGACCTCACCCGACATCGAGGGGGGCGAGACCCAGTTTCTACTGGATCTAAACCAAGAGGAGGACGATGTTCTGCAGATGGAGCAGGAGGTTCTTAGTCTGTCCGAAGACGACGAGGAGCCGTGCCCAGCTCAGTCCACCCCAGCTGCTGCGAAGGTGGACCAGGATTCGTCCTTCTTGTCCC